CATACAGAAACACATCCCACAACACTATCACCTCTATGTTCATGAAGGATGTTAGTCTGCAGTTCTATGGGAGGTTTTCATAAAATATTCAGTATGGATTTTAGGATAATAGTGGACATATAAAGTGAGATGGCAACGTCTGCTTTTTGAGTCCTTGTTACACTCTGTATAAGGTGAATATTATTTCTTCTTTTGGATTGGATATTAAGCTGAATTCACCAGCAACATCTTGAAGGCCTGCAGGTTCCTCTTCGGAAATGTGTTGGCTAGCTTGGAGCTACAGGATGTGTTTGTTTGTTTCTTTACTCAGTGAGTAAAGGTGCTTGCTGCCAAGCTGACAAGCTGAGTTGGAGCCATAGGACCAACATGGTGGAAGCAAAGAGCTAACTCCCACAACACAGCCCGTGGCATGTGTGCGTGCCCCTCCACACTAAATAAACAAACAAGTGTAATTTAATGTTTTAACTTTAATTCTTCAATAGGTACAATTCCATTTAGATGACCTATTTGTGCTTGTGCCCATTTTGATGATTAGCACCTTTTGAGGGACTTTACCATTTCCCTTGAGTTGTTGAATCTACTGGCAAAGTTCCCCGTCATTTTACAGTCTAAAGATCTGAGTGATGGTGCTTTCTCCTTCCTGATAATCTGTCATTTGAGTCTTACCTCTTTCTTTTTTGAGCAGTCTAAAGATATTAGTTTCATTGAACTTTTCAAATAATATCTCTGCTGTACATTGATTTTTATGTTGTGGGCTGATTTCCTATTATAATGTCTTCTGATAATTTATTAGTTTATTTCTTCTGTTTATTTTGGTTTTAATTTATGCTAATTTTTAAATATTTGAAGATAGAAGTATAGATAATGGGTTTAAAACCATGTTTTATTTTTCAAATACAAGCATTTGAAACTGACCATTTCCTTTGAGGAGCCAACTGATAAAAACACTGTAATCAAAAGCATCTTGGGGAAGAAAGGGTTTATTTCATCTTATGGCTTGTAGTCCAGGGCAGCCAGGGCGGAAACTGATTTATGTGTATTGTGTGGGTATGTAGGTATATGTTACATGTGTGCAGGTACCTTCAGAAGCCGAGAAGGGTATTGGATCTCTTGGAGCTGATGTTACAAGCAGTTGTACGCTACCCAACATGGGGGCTGGGAACCAAACTCAGGTCGTCTGGAAGAACAGCAAGGGATCCTAACATCTGAGCCATCTCTCCAGTTCCCATAATTCGATATTTTTCTGTTTTATTTTTTTAGTTGCAAATATATTCTTTTCCTATACAATGCATCCCAACCACAGTTTCCCCTCCCTCCACTCCCCCAAGCACCCCCCACTTCCCCTCTCCCCCAGATCTACTCTCCCTCCATCTGCCATCAGAAAAGAGCAGGCCTCCAAGAGAAAAAAACAACCAAACATAACAAGACAAAAGACAATAAGACAAGGCAAAAGCCCTCACACTGAAGCTGGACAAAACAACCCAACAGGAGGAAAAACGTCTCAAGAGCACCAGAGATACACCAGCTCCCAGAGTCAGGAGTCCCACAAAAACACCCAGCTAACAGCCACAACATACATGCCGAGGACCTGGTGCAGACTCCTGCAGGCCCCGTGCTTGCTGCTGCAGTCTCAGTGAGCCCATGTGATCCCTGCTTAGTTGATTCGGTGGGCCGTGTTCTCCTGGTGTCCTCCATCTCCTCTGACTCCCACAATCTTTCTGCCCCTTCTTCCTTGGGGTTCCCCGAGCTCCAAGGGGAAGGAGCTGATGGACACCTCTGATTTAGACTCTCTCCACATAATGTCTGGTCTCTGCATCCACTCCCATCTGCTGCCAGAGGAAGCCTGTCTGATGATGAGTGGACAAGATGCTGATCTGGAACTGTATCTGTTTCAGCATCTTTTCTCCTGCTCACCCCTTCCTGAGCCTTGGTTTACACATTTCATTAGATGGGCCAACATTGTCTCTCTTTGAGCCTTTTCACTACGCTTCAGATTATGTTTTTGGTTTCTTCAAATTCCTGGACAGAGTTGGGGTATAGCTAAGCAGCAGCTGAGCCTTTACCATGCATAAGGCCCTGGGCTCAGACACACATGCGTTCACACGTACCTGGCCTTATTCATGCTAGATGCCTCCAAAGCCCCTCTCACTCTTCCATCATTTGTATTGTTTCTGGGCTGATGACTAGTTTTCCCTCCGATCTGGGTCCCAGCTTCCTTCTTGTCCTCCACGTAGCACTGTTGCACCTGACCCTGGAGGTGTAAACCTCACACATTGCTAAGATTCTCCATTTGACCAGCCTTTCAACAACCGTTAAGTGCTGTGCTGACAGGCTCTTGACTGTCTGTGGATGCACCTGCCCTCAAAGGCCTCCTTACCCTTAGTGTGAGGTAGAGCACCACCCCCTCCAGGATAGCTTTGCTGAACCTAGGATAGGGCTGCTTTGATTGAGTTACCGCTGGTCAGCCTGTTTCTTCATTGCAGGTGTCTTCCATCTATGAGGATGCTGGGTGTGGCCTGGCCCACAGGCCTAGCTACTGGCTGCCCAGCAGGTGTGGTGGCTACTAATGGGCACTGACCAAAAGCTGTGAAGGATGGAAGTGCAGAATCCACCTCTTCTCCCAACCAGGAACCTTGGGGGCAAAGAGATCCCCAGGACAGGCCATATAGGTGGCTAGCCACCCCTCATCATCCAGATATGAGTTCTGTGCAGACTTTGATCCAGCACCTTTCCCTGAGGGTGAAGGTAGGTAAAGACAGCCCACAGCCCTCCACCTCCACCCTCTAAGACCTCCACAGGTCTTAGAGCTAAATGATAGGATAAGGTGAGGGACTAAAAGTTAGGTAGATTCCTGACAGACAGACAGACACAGGCATCAGAGATGGATAATTTCCGGCTTCTTCCTCACCCTCCTGACCTGAGACAAAGGTCTGTCATCTTGATACAAAGGCCTGATGGGATTTTCCTAAATTAGAGAAAGGTGACCCCATTCCAGCCTACCAAACAGCCTCAACCACCTGTCTTCCAGGAGGAGAATGGGCTTCACATCTGAGCCCCCATCTGCTTTGCGGGGGTGGGGGGGGTCCTGCTCTTTCATGTGTGTGCCCTGTTTTTGTCAGGCAGGCATGGTGCCGCACACCTTTAACCCCAACACTTGGGAGGCAGAAGCAGCTAGATCTTTGTGAGTTTGAGCCAGCCTGGTCTGCATAATGATTCCAGGCCAGCCTGTGCTACACAGTGAGACCCTGTCACAAAAAGAGTATTTTTTCATCAAGTCTACCCGCAGTGTCAAAGTTTTCCCCTCCTGTTAGCTGTTTTGTGATGAGGTGAGGTTTTTGTCCTCCTATCTTTTAATTCTTTAAGAGTCAGGGGCTAACAGAGGTGTAAGAGACAGCACTGAGCAGGGGCTGGCATGCAAGATCTTGCTCGGAAGCTGGAGTAAAAGGTCTCCCTGCCAGGCCTTGGCCTTTCTTTGGGCATCTGTCTCCTGCTTGCCCACGGTTTTTCCGTCAGGTGTCAACCTCCCCTTTTCGTTGGTCAGTGTGCTTCATGGAGGGTGGGCTTGGTGAGTGCAATACCCTACAATGGCCTCAGGGGGTCAGCAACAACCCGCCTTTCCCAGGAGCCGCCTAGCAGCACATCGGCTGGCCACCCAGGGAGTTCCAGGACCCAGGCCTTAGTCCACAGGTCACTCTGAGCTCCTCTTCTCCTTCCACTGTGACTGACACCCGCGGGGCCTGGCCCTGCGCCCAGATGATATCACACCGGAAAGAGCAGAGGCTGGCACAACCAAACCATTTAGCTTCAGGGCTGTGGTCCGAGGCTGAGGGCATAGGAGGACTGCCGGCCAGGCACACCCCTCACACTGCAATAGCCAAGAAAGTGCCAAGCCAGAGTCTCCAGCGTCATCCCCCTCAGAAATGTGGTGCTCAATGAGGCATGCTCTTGGGTTACACTGCCCGGGACACTGCTTGGATAATCGTGTGGGGGACCAGGGTGTGAGGTCACAGATCTTTCCTGAAAAATAGATGATAGAGGCGGATCAGGAAGGGGACTAGCACACGCTGAGGCTTCTGGCTGTGTCCCAGGACCTTGGGTTACTCCCAGGTCACCAGACATTCCCTGTGTCCCTGTCACACACAGCCCTGGCTCCTGCACAGTGAGCCAGGCAGAAAAAGAGCCACAGTAAGAGATGGTTGTGTCAACAGTCTCCACAGAGAAGAGCTCATCCTTGTTCCCTCCTCTTGTCCAAGCGTGGTCTGGGTCTGCTCTGATGACCGTGTTTTGAGGTGTCTTGGAGATGTCAAACCATGAATTCAATGTTGCATGAAGGAAAACTAAAATGCCAGGTGTAGTGGTGCATGTCAGTAAGTAACCCCGGCTCTCAGGAACCTGAGGCAGCCTCCGCAAGGTGAGACTGACATACCAGGCAGAGGCAGGGTGGTCAGGACCGGCCCCGCCCTGACCATCCTGCTTCCAAGAAGTCCTGCTCTTGGATGGAGGAGGCTGGGCACGGCCAGCCCCTGCTCCTGTCCCCACACTGCTGTGCTCTCTGCCCCCACCTCAGGCTGCCCCCCCCCCCGGCCATGCTCCCTCCACTTCTTGGCCTTTGCACTCACTGTGACTCTTGTCTGCCCTACTCTGTCTCCTTTTATCCCTTAACTCTGCTCACCCTTTGGGGCTCAGATTTGGTGGCATTTTGGAGGGCAATGGGGCAGGCCCCATCTTTTCCCACACGGGGAGCCTGGCCCCTAGAGCCCCCATAGGGGGGCGCTGTTATAGCATCATCACTGAGGAAACTACATGGACTTGGGAACTGTTTTCCTGAGCTCAGGAGAATCAAGGCAGGACCTGAGGGGCTGGCAGAATTTCCAGCCCTCAGTTATCAATAGAGTGGAGTGGTGGTGGAGAGACCACACCATGAAGGTTGTCCTGGAGATCCTGGTTAGGGCTGCCCTGAAGTAGCCTGCTGCAAAGAATGCAGGGGGTGGGGCCTTCCTTCAGCAAACAGGTTCCCGCAGGCCCGGGCTCTCTCAGAAGGCTGCCTGGAGGAGGCGGAGGAGCCCTGAGACAGGCGCAGAAAGGAAGCAGGCGTAGGAGCGGGAGGGAGAGTAGACAGTACCCAAGGGCGGACTCCGGCCCGAACCCCCAGACTGGTCACGTGAACGCAGGCGGGGCCCAGGTAGTGCGGTGACGCAGCCGGCGCGGCCAGGTGAGGCAGCCGCGGTGCAGCAGGTGCCCAGGGTGCGTCCCGCCCTCCGGCCGCGCAACCGCCGGCGGAGCCCACCTGGCCCGGCTCCGCCCGTCCGCCCGCCCGCCTGCCCTGCAGGAAGTAGGGAGGGCGGGACCGACTGGCCGCAGGACAGGGATCCAGCAGCACTACAAGCTGTACCCGCCCCGCTGCTCCTCGGCCGCACGCACAGGTGAGTCTGGGCTCTGGAGGGTCAGCCGAGAGGAAGGCCACCTGGGCCACCCGGAGCGCCTCTGCTCCTTTCCAGCCCCTCCCGACCTCGGCGACAACGTCGCGCCCCGCCCTCTCGCTGGAGCTGCAAGCCCGGGACTAGGAGCCTGGCTGCTCTGAGCTGCTCAGTCCAAGGGACACTTTGCAGTGGACCCGGTTAGACACTAGGGCGCAGAGACTCCTGGGAAGTCCCGAGGGGCGTGGAAGTGACTCTTCCGGGAGCTAGAAAGACGGTCTGTTCAGATGGGCTTCAAGAATAAGGGGCCTGGCACCCCTCGTGTGCTTTTTCTGCCTTGATGGCCTTGGTGGCCAGCCGTCTAAGCCAGGCTCCACAGTGCCTTCCAGTGGGAGGGGACTGCTCCAGAAAGCTGCGGGTGCCACTTACAGGCTGGACAGTGGGCACCTGACCCTACCCCCCTGCCCTGATCCCCATATCTGTAAATCAGGAGCAGGGATCTGTTTTGAAGTTGAGCAAGAAAGATGAACCTGGGCATGGGCCTCAGGAGTCTGAGTTGGTAGCAGCCACAGTGAGATCTTGGTGGCCTCTACATCACACCTGGAGCCCAGACAGGAGCTGATAGCCCCTAAGTGGATGCTTGGTGTGTGCGTCACTGGAGTGACCAGCCAGCGGTAGGGTGCCGTGTCCAGTGGGTCCATTTGTGACTGCATGCCGGTACACCCCGATACCCTTGACTTCCCACCCTGGTGTGTGGGCACGAGGCTTGAATATGTCTTAATTCAGGCAAGCTGCTTCCGTCTCCGGGCCTCGGTTCTCTCTCAGAGTGTCTTGATTCAGTCTGCTGCTGCTGTGTTCCTGTTCTGGGGATAAATGCTTCCGTGGGCCCATGATCTCAGGATACCCATCGTCCACAGAGAAACCTCCCACAGCACTGCCCGGTGGACGGAGGGGTCTTCAGGCTTCCTTGAAAAAGTAAGCTGCAGAGAGAACAAGATGGAGAGAGTGAGGTGGAGGCTCCTTGCCACTTCCTTCTCCAAGCACCTAAAACCAGAAACTACTCTTTTCTTTTTAAAGACTTATACGTTTAAGTGTTTTGCCTGCATTTATGTTTGCACACCACAGGTGTGCCTGGTACCCATAGAAATCAGAAGAGGGCATCGGATCCCCTGGGATAAGAGTTACAGACAGTTGTGAGCTTCCATGTTGGTGCTGGGACTTGAACCCAGGTCCTCTGGAAGAGCAGCCACTGCTGACTTCTGTTGAACCATCTCTCCAGCCCTGTAGTAAGAAACTTTTGTGGGGGGTTGTCCCAGTGTTCACCTCCTGCAGGGCAGTCACTCTCCACCCGTGTGTGAGGAAGTGGTGTGAGGAAGCGTGAGTCCAGGGGTGAAGTATCTGGTTGAGATTCTCAGGGCTTGTTCATGGAGACAACAGGTCTGCTCCTCGGAAGGTGATGGTTGCATTTCTGTTTGGCCAAAGGGCCTGAAGGTTTTGGTTTTGGTTTCTAGATGCATCTTGGCATTTCCTGTGCTCACTCTGTGACATGATGCTCAGGTGACTGTCCCTCTGTAGCATCATGGGTCCAGAATCCCCTGTGGTCTGCATCCAGTTCCTGGTTTGAGGACAGCCATCTGGGTCAGGATGGGGCCTCAGAGCTTGGCTCCTCCCCTTGTACTCTCACTGCCTGGGGCTTGACCCAGGCAGGTCACATTCCCTCTGTCCCAGCTTCTCACTGCTGAGGGAAGACACTCAAGGGCAGAAGTTCGGGAGGGGCTGAAGACTTAGCCAGCCAGAGAGTACCTTCTGTGGGCCTGTTTTTCTGCTGGTGAACTGGGCAGTGGAGGAGGCCTGGCCTTAGGTTCCCGGCAGGTCAGGACTCTGCTTCCCTAACCCAAGCTCCCTTAGGGGACCCCGAGGTTACCAGCTGCTTGGGCTTGTGGAATGTGAAAGGGGAGTGCAGAGTGATAGGCGAGGTTGTGGGCTAAGACTGGATGCACCAGGTGGGTGGAGGGTGACTCTAGCTGGCTAAGATTCGTTTCCCCCACCTCAGCCCTGTGGGCGTTTGTTCCAGTTGGTTGTCATGGGCTGCTTTGTGCCCGGTGGATCCCGGCATCCTGGCCTCAGTACACAGAATGCCTGTGGGTCTGACCAACACTGTCTTCAGATGTTACCAGTTGTCTGCAGGTGGACTAAACTGCTCTCAGCTGAGATTCTCTGAGCTCAGCCCCCACCACCTGACAAATGTCACTAGCTGGTTACAAAGCTGAACCCTGCTGCCGCTCAGCCAGGCAGGATGGCCCAAGGACAAGGCCACTGTTGTGGGGTGGCTGAGTCTGCTGCTAAAGAAGACTGAGCCTGGCCAGGTGGAGATGGCCCAGCCTCAGAGCTGGTGATGGAGGGCCTCCAGCAGGGCAGAAAGTCTCAGACTCAGGGTGGTTTGGGTTCCTATGACCAGCTGTGACCAGCTGCAACGGGCTCAGACTAGGAAGAAATCAGGCTTAGGGAACTAGAAGGCAGCACGGGTACCCACAAGATCCATGGTAAGGGAGCAGAGAACCAGGTGCAGAGAGGCCCACCCATCCAGGACCACACCCACAGTGACTCCCGGAGACCTCTGGCAAGGTCTCACTGGCTCTACATGATATCCTGCCCCAATCATGGTTCTGCTACCCCTGTGCCCCAGGGCATGCTCCCTCTGAGGGTTATTTAGTGGCAAAGAGAATGCGGGCTGTAGGTTCTAAGGCCTCGATCATGGGCCATTTCCAGCCACCCTGAGCAGAAACAGCTAGGAATCCTCCCCACCATTGTATCTGGGTCTGCTGAGTGGCTCTGGCCCAGTTTCTGCTCCTTTTAGTCAGAACCCCTGGGCAAGTTGGTTCTCAGAGAGCATCAGAGCCTCTTCAGTGAGATGCAAGGTGGGCCCAGGACAGAGAAAATGCCAGCATCCATTTGGAAATTGAGCTCCAGTGTGTTTGTGGGGGCAGGTAGAAGTTGTTCCTGAATCCCAAAGACTTTCAGGAATATGGTGGCCAGGCACCCAGATAGAGCTCCCGTAGAAGGCGTCTTTGGAGTTGTTTCCACACTCTCAGTGAGCCTGGTGTGCCTGAAATAGGGAGAAGACACACCTTGGTCCATATGGAGTCTGGGAGGCCTCACAGCCTGCTCTCAGAGGTACTGTTGGTGGATGGCCATGGCTGGCATTTCCCTGGAGGCCACTAGGAGAATCCGAGGCCCTCATGTTGCTAGTTTCTTGGTGAACCAAGAGTCAGAAGCCAGCCTTCCCGGGGGAAAGGCTGTCCCTTGGAGACATGGGCAGGAGCAGGGAGTCTACAGTCCCCAGGGACAGAGCCTGTACTCTTGGGCCCCAGTGACCACCCAATCAGCAGCAGAAACCAAAGCAGCTTTCTGAAAGTTTTATGTCTGAGAGACCAAGGCCCAGGGGAGACCAGGCAAGGAAGAAAATGGGTAGCCAGCAGCAGCCAACAGGAAGGAACGTGCAAGAAAACGTGATTCCTGCCCTCTAAGTTAATGGAAGATGTTGTATTTTCAAAACAAGAACAGGATGCTAGGAATGAAGAGCAATGGCTGGGGGGGGAGCTCTTTGTAGGGGCATAGGAATGGCAAAAGGGGCGGAAGTCTCAGAAGGCTGAGTGGAGTGGAGGCGTCTCCAAAAGGACAAGGAACGAGAAACGGCGAAAGGTCAGAAATCGGGAAATTTCAGAGCTTCAATCTTTTTTTTTTTCCAGAGACAGGGTTTCTCTGTGTAGCCCTGGCTGTCCTGGAACTCACTCTGTAGACCAGGCTGGCCTTGAACTCACAGAGGTCCACCTACCTCTGCCTCTGAGTGCTGGGATTAAAGGTGTGCGCCACCACTGCCCGATTCAGAGGTTTTAATCTTGATTAGTGAGTGTTCCTAAAAGAAAAAAAAAAAGGTGCAAGAAATTATTTAAAAAAAAAAAAAAAAAGACAGGCCCAGTGCTCCTGGCCTGCCTGGCATCCCAGCCACTGGAGGCTCAAGCAGGAAGACAACAAATTCAAAGCCTGCCTGGGCTGCAGTTTAAGGCCACGCCAGGCAAGCTAGTAAGACCCTGTCTCCAATAATAATAAGTTACAATAAGGCAAGGGGCTGGGCTATAGCTCCGTGGTGTAGCAGTGGCTCAGGTGAGGCCCCAGGGTGCCTCCCAGCAGGGGTGGGAAGTGTGAGGCCCGAGCCCTCCCCAAGGCTGGTAGGGAGGAGCGCAGGGTGCTGTCTGAGGGAGAGAAGTCTGAAGGGCGCCAGGTCTTAGCAGCGAGAACAGAAAAGGGTGCTTCCAGATTCTAGAGGAAAATTATCCCCGGTGGGAGAGAAGAGGAGAGAAAGTAAAAAACCTACCCGCTGCTGGGCTTGATGGCACACACGTTTAACCCCAGCACTCAGGACGGAGAGGCAAGCAGACCTCTGAGTTCAAGGCCAGCCTGATCTATGTATCGAGTTCCAGGCCAGCCAAGGATACACAGTAAAACCTTATCTCAAAAAATTAAAAAAAAAAAAAATTAAAGATCTGGGACTGGAGAGATGGCTCAGGGGTTAAGAGCACTTACTGCTCTTGCAGAGGACCTGGGTTTGGTTTCACAACCATCTTTAACTCCAATTCCACTTCCAGGGAATCTGACCCCCTCTTCTGACCTATGCATGCTACAGGTATGCATGTGATGCACATACATACATGCATACAAACACTCATACACCTAAAATAATATTTTAAAAAAATGTTTGCAGACATTAAAAATCTGCCCTCTACTCCTTCCGGAGACAATGTCTGAGATTTGCTTTAAAGAGTAGCCCTGATGGCCTGAGGATAGCCTGAGCCAACCTAAGGACCACCTATCCACCCAACCCCCACCTTGAGATAGGAGGGTGCCCAGGAAGACCCGGAAGTGGCCCCTGCACAGAAGAGTCACACTCGAGCATGGAGAAGCGAAACTGGACAGCTAGGGAAAAAAAACTAACAGGAGAGCTGGCTGTGGAGGTAATAAATAATGATTAACAAAGGCAGGCCAGCCTCATGGTCCCCTGCCCCTGGGGCCTGCAGCTGTGCTGTGTGGATGCACAGCCCAGCCTCCGTCTTGTCTGGGCACAAGCTGCAGGAGACATCTGATGCGTCCAGCAGGTCTTCCAGTACTACCCTCAGAACAGGAACCTGTAGCCCTCAGCCCTGCTCTCTGGGGTCCCAGACAGGTTGTTTGCCGGGCCTGTGGGTGTGGTGCCAGGCTGGGAACGGAAGCCACTCCCAGCAATGGCTCACCTGACTGATTCCCTCTGGGCACCTCTGGCCCTGGAATGGACTTTGCCCTGTGCCGGGAGAGGCCACTGTCTGCCAGGGGCTATGCCGTCCTGCACGCCTGAAACGCTAGCTTAGGGGTGATGGGTGTTTGCTGGCAAGGGAGACAAACTAATGACAGCTTCTGTGGGGTCTGTTCTGAGTGGAATGATCGCTGTGTGAAAGAATTGCACCTGAAGTCTGTCCTGGGCCATCCGAAGACAGCTAAACCAACTTCTCCAGACCTTGGTTGGTGCAGCCCTGCCCCATACCACACGTGTGACAGATGCCAGCTCCCGGGGGAGGCCTGGTGTGCCTGCTATCATCCTCAGCCAGGACTTGGAATGTCCTTAGGAATGCACCCTCCCTTTCTCAGGAGGCACTAGGCCCCAGCCCGCCCCTCCCTGGGGCCGGTGAGTCTCAGCTGCACTCAACTTCTCAGGATAGTTTTAGCCAAGAGCTTCTATGCTGGAAGATCCTGGGACTTCAGGGGGTGAGCGGGGACACGACCAGATACCTGGGTGCCTCACACTTTAGCAGTGTGACCAGCCCTGTCCCCTTCGGGGAGGGACTGCTGGGCAGGGTCTTGGTACTATCTGTGCTCTGAAAAATGGGTTAGGATGGAGCTGTGACCTGCCTGGAGCTCTGGGGTGAGTGTGATCTTCCTAGAGGTTGGAGAGTCACCAGTTCTGGAGGGCCTGGACCCATCCAAACAGCCTAGGAACCCATCCCCATCTCTGGCAGGGTAGCCGTCCTTTCCAGTCCAGTTCAGTCCATCTGGCTTTGTCAGGCAGGGCAGGTAGGCACCACACCCTGGGATGTGAACCTGGGACAGAGCCCAGGGCAAATGACAGGGAGGCACTGAGGCCCAGTACTGAGCCCAGATCCTTATCCCTGATGTGGGCAAAAGACACGGAGCTCTCTTGTTTAACCATCTGAAAAACAAACTTCCCCTTTGGAAGGCTCTTTCTAATAAGTTGGTATTTGGGACTGTTTGGTTTTTGTTTTTGTTGAGATAGTCTCACGATGTATGTAGCCCAGGCTGGCCTCGAACTACAGCGCCTCCTGTCCCAGCCTCTCTGGTGCTGAGTATGTGGTGTGCCTCCACAACCCTCTTAGGCTCATGTCATTTTAACCTAGACAAAGTTCTGAGCATATAAAAGGCTTCCTCAATGTTGGCTCCCTTGTTTTTAGAAAAAGGGAAAATATTTACAGAAGGGTGTGGTGGTATTGTGTTCCCCAAAATATTGTGCACCCTAATAAACTTATCTGGGGTCAGAGACAGAACAGCCACTAGATACAGAGGCTAGAAAATGGTGGTGCACACACCTTTAATCCTAGCATTCCAGAGGCAGAAATCCCTCTGGATCTCTGTGAGTTCAAGGCCACATTGGAAACAGCCAGGCATGGTGACACACACCTTTAATCCCAGAAAGCCAGCCTTTAATCCCAGGGAGTGGTGGTAGAAAGCAGAAAGATCTATAAGGTGTGAAAACCAGAAACTAGAAGCATTTGGCTGGTTAAGCTTTCAGGCTTCTAGCAGCAGTTCAGCTGAGATTCATTCTGGATGAGGACTGAGAGGCTTCCAGTCTGAGGAAACAGGATCAGCTGAGGAATTGGCGAGACCTTTTAAGATTCCTGCTACAGAAGGGAGTTTTCCCCCACTTTACATCAGGGTCCTACAAAGTCTCCTGAGTGCCAACCTCTCTCATTACCAGTGCAGTGTGGTGTTTGGTTCAGAAAAGGCTTGGCCACTGCTATGTGGCCCCCGCAGCCAGTCAGAGCTGTTTAATGGGCTTTGTAGGTCATTTAGGAGCCTGTTAGGAAATTTTCAAGTGATGCCTTTGTTCTTACTGAGCCCATTTTGCAGATTTTAAAATTGAAGCCAAGAAGTGGCACCTGTAATCATTGAGGACCCCAGGTTCCCAGGCCCCCAGCAGGGCAGCTCTTGACGAGTATTGAGGACCTCCAATCACGGAGGTAAGTGGACAGTTGACCCTCAGCATACTGGTCAGTGTGGATGACTGGTTCCCTGGCTCCGGCTATAGCTGGGTCAAATTATAGGTCTGCTCGCCTCAGTCTCTGGGTCACAGGGCAGTGGGATTCCCTGCCCAAGAGGGACACTTGTCCCTTCCAGTCACATCTCTCCTGTTAGCCAAAGCCAACCTTAGGACTGTGCTGCACCCGAGGGAACAGAAAATGCAATGCTGAAGAAATAAATTGGACACTCTGGAAACCATTGCCCAGGGCTTCCTACTGTGGATGGGGTAGGGTGGCGGGACACCAGTAAGTCAATGCTGAGGAGAAAGAAGCCGGAAAGAGCTGCTAGGATGAACAGGTAGAGTGGCTGAGGGGCAACCAGGCAATGGCTGTCAGTTCCTGTCCTGGGCTGGGCAGTGAGCCCCTGGACTGTGGCTTAGATTGAAGCTCCCTGCTCTCACTCACCCCATCTGCACTGTGACCCCCAAGACTGGGATTGTGGTCCCCCTACTTCAGAAACATGGAAAGTACAAATGCATATTGGAGAGTGCTATGAGGATAAGTTTTGGAGCCAGCCTTGGTGCTGGGGCAAATGGGCTTGGCTGGGAGAAGGGGAAGCAGCCAGGCTTTACCTGGAGCCTAGCTCTGCTATGTGTGTGGAAAGCCACTGAACAGGAAGGCCATGTCAGGTAGTGTCTCCTCCTTCCACCCTCTACCCCACTTGCTCCTTATTTTTGTCAGGGCCAGACATCCGAGGCATGTCTCCAGCAGGTCCCTGGGCCTCTGGATAGCCCATCCCTTACCAACGATGCAGAGCCAGGCAAGGTCATGGTCACATCCACAGCATCTGCTGCAGTCTCAGAAAACCATAACTCCCCATGCAAACCACACACAAAGCGTCCTGGCATCAGTAAGGGCCCTAGCCAGGATTTTGGTCCTAATCTAGGGGGCCTCTGGGTTCAGCCACAAACCTGCCCTTATTTGTACCCTGCTGAGGACCCAGGACCAGTTATGTCAGAGAAAGCAGGGTGGTCCCTGAGGCCCAGCTCAGCCACAGATTATTTTCACCAGGCCCCTCATCTCAGGGAATAGCTGCCTGAGGCACATAGCCCCAGATTAGCCCAGACTCCAGCTTCCCTGCACACCTGTAAAGCACCTATGCCACATCCCAGGGGAGGCTCCTGGTGAACAGCCATAGCCAGCCCTGCTCTCCCTGTCCTTGCCTGGGAGCTGTTATGGGAGGATGCTAAGAAGAAACAAGATTGAACACCAGGGAGGCTGTACGCAGGAGGCCTCTCTGAGCCTCTCACCGCTTGCCTGCCTCTCTCTCTAGGGTCCCTCTGCCACCCAGCATGTCCCAGAGACATTCTGACAGCTCTTTGGATGAGGAACCACTGGAACAGCGTTTCCATGCAGAGCTGCGACTCGATGCCAATGGGAACCCTATGCCAGGGATCCCCATGGTCCGTAGCTCCTTGAAAGCCAGAACCAATGCTGCCTTTGAGCCAGAGGCCTCCGAACCCCCGCAGGTGCCCCCAGAAGATGGAGAGCCACGACCCATCGTCCTCAGCACACAGAGCCCCGCGGCACTCAAGATGGGCACCCAGCAGCTCATCCCTAAGAGTTTGGCCGTGGCCAGCAAGGCCAAGACCAAGTCCCCAGCCCGCCACCAGAGCTTTGGGGCAGCCATGCTCAGCAAGGAGGCTGCTCGGCGGGATCCTCGGCTCTTCTCAACCCCCAGCTTCTCCTTGGATGACATGGATGTGGACACTAGCATGAATCTGACTCGAAAACTGAGGAACCAGTCCTACAGGGCAGCTATGAAAGGCCTAGGGCCACCCAGCAGCAAGGGAGACTCAGTCCAGCTCGGCCCCAAGCTCCAGGCCCTCGCTGAGGAAGGTCCCCGGCCTCCTGCCCAGTGCCTAGCCAAAAATAAGGTAGGGAGATGAGCAGCAGGGATGGGCAGTGTCTCTAGGGGCCCAGGAGTTCACAGGCAAGGAGGCTGCCTGGTCCTGTGACTATTATATCTGCATCACACATGGCAGTTGCTGGATGCAGGCTCCTGACCATCCTGCCGACCATGCTGTGGCTGGAGGAGGTTGAGTCATGTTCTTGGGAATCTTCCACATCTCTACTTCCATCCAGCGTGGACAGCAGAGGGAATCAGTCACTTTTGAGCCCAAGCATGGAGCCAGCCCGTCTGAAGACACTTTTCAGTGATGCCCGGCTCAGGCTGCCAGTGGGACAAGGAGGGACAGTGTGTAGCCCTCACCACCTGTCTCCCTGCCCTGCTGCTTCCTGGCCTGCCCTGGGTAGGGAGAGTACTCTTCCCTGAGCTCTGGTGTAGCCCTGGGTGTTCAGAAGAACAGAATGGAGTCCTAGCCCTTTGGGTTGCAGGAAGCCTGTGGTCAGGTAGTGACCACTCCTTCCACTTTTCATCCTGCTTGCTCCTTATGTTTCAGGGTCAGATGGGGGATTGCTGTTTCACAGCCATTCAAGGCCATTGCTTCCCAGGATACAGGGCTGTGGAGGGCTTCTGGACCTCTTGCCAGGGGTTTTCCTCAGATTTGTTCAGGGGCTCCCCAGGCGCAGGGCTGTCAGCTTCCGTGAAGGGCCTGGATGGGCTTTTGTGACTATGTGACCCCTAACAGATTCCTGACACTTGTGAGCCTCAATTTCCCCATATATAAGTGAAGATGGCCACCACCCAGTGGTAGCATACTCCAAAAATGCCCTTTGTTGCTTAGAGCTGTTGTACACAGCATCATGGGAAAAGCATGCTTATTCGGGCATACAAGCTCCCTAGACCCTGAGCCTCAGCTTGGCTTTGGGAGAAGCAGACACCTGTCAGTCAGGCCACAAGCTTCCATGAAGGCCGATAGTGGCTAGGTCAAGGCCACTGTCCCTCATCACAGTTCCCTGCCACATCTACCTGAGATGCCTGGACCCTTGATGTGTGTCCCTGTACCCCAGGAACTGGATCAATGCCACCACTGCCCCCTTGTTGGACCAGGCCGGCCAAGGTCTCATTCATTCATTCCTCAACAAGAGTCCCATCTTCAGCACACACTCCTGTTGCATGCCCCATGCTGGGGTACTAAGCTGTGGCTGCTCCTGAGAGCCCCTGTGCAGAGAGGGTGTCAAGGGCTGGCAGGTGACAGTACCAGAGGCCCCAGGAGCCTCCTAGATGAGAAGGCTCCCCATGGTCCCAGGGCCAGGAGGGATTTGAATTGGAGGAGGTGAGGGGGTGGGGGAGGGTGAGAAAAGGAGCTAGGCCAGGTTTAGCTGGGAGTGTCATACTTTCCCCGACCTGTAAGGGAGTTTTCAGGCCCCAACTGGTTCTAAGAAACCAGAAGCGACTGGCCTCTGCTTTCCTGGAACCAGTGTACCTGTGAAAACCTGGTGTTCCAGCCAAGGAGTGGGGACTGTGTGGGAATGCCAGTGTAGAGTGGGACTTCCCCAGACTCTGCCCTTGGTTGCCTCTGCAATCCCCTCCCTCAATTTCTGGGGCCCTGAGCCAGTACCAGGGTCAGACTCTAACAAACAGCATTCTGCCCACTCCAGCCCCCTCTTCATTCCCACCACGTCCCAATCTCCAGGTAATGCCTTTTAACTGGCTTAGCCCCTGGGCAGCCTTCCTGGGCCTGTAGCAGCCCGCTGCCTGGTACCCCAGCTTTTACCTCTCTGGCCTCTGCTTGTGAAGCTCCTTCCTCTCCCTTACATATCTTGCTGTGGGATAAATCTCTGGTCTGCCATAGTAACAGAAGGGGAGCCCACCCATGCCTCCCTCCCCACTGACTGCTGAGGTTTCTGTGTCTTCTCTGCAGAAAACTCTGGGTCGGAAACGTGCACACAAGGGCTCCTTCAAAGATGGTAAGTGGCTCGCAGGAAGCTGAGGGCCGAGCATGGCCAGGAAGGGGTCTCAGTAGGGCCAACCCGGGACTGGGTGGGTCTGAGAAGATGAGATCTTCTGGGCAGGACATTGGGCACAGATCCCAGTTGTTGATGTGACTGTATGTCTCGTAGAATTCCCTTGGACACCTAAACTATGTGACCCAAAGACAGGACAGGACAGACCCACACTATCTTGAGTATCCAATGGGACCCAGGTTGGATTATAGGGCATCTGGCCTCCAGAGAGGCAGACATTCATCTCTGTTCTCTGCATGGAATTTTCCCAGTCCAAAGAGAGCCTACTGGGCACTGCAACTCGTGAGAAAGTAATAATCATTGTTGTATCTTCCTGGTCCCACTGAGGCATGGTGACTCCAGCAAGAATATCCCTCCCTCCTGGCTCATGTTAGCTCCATGGGTAGCCACAGGCCAGAAACAAGGATTCGGGCCTCTCTGCAGTCTCTGGGACACACTCCCTGTGTGGAACAGCAGCAGTGCCCAGTCTCGGGTATAGGCTGACACATCAGCTGCATGGCCTCAGAGATGCCCTGAACTGGGTTAGCCCATGCCAGGATGGGCTCGTAGTATTGATGGCTCATGGCCAGCAACCAGCATACTCAGGCCCCGCCTGAGTACCCCAGCCTCCCTCTCCCCGACCAGGCACAGCTGACCTCACGCAGCTCTGGTTGGTCGGCTTGGCCCTGACCTGGAGTGCCACATTCTACACTGGGCTGCTACCATCTCCCAGGATGACCTTACACCACTGTAGGATCCAGTGGGCCATAGGGGAGCCTGCATGTTTTTGAGAGCTTTGTGGGGCCCTTGGGAGGGCCAGGCTACCCCCAAACCCTCATGCAGACAGGCGACTCTGCTCTCTCCAGAACCCCAGTTGTACCAGGAGATCCGAGAGCGGGGTCTAAATACCAGTCATGAGTCTGATGATGACATACTCGATGAGCCTGCCAGCCCAGAGGGATCTCAAAGAGCGGACACCACCATTGTGGTCAAGAGCTATCGGCCTGCCCAGCTCACCTGGAGCCAGCTGCCGGAGGTAAGGAGGCCCCATGGCCTTCCCTTCCCTAGCTTGTGGTAGCCCAGGGCCCTTACAAGGAGTTCAAACTTAGCTTCCAGAGTCACTGGGATACACAGTTGGCCTGTGGAGCAGTGAGTGTGTCTTCTGACCTGGTATGTGGCTGGAGGTCTGACCTGAAGGGGCTCTGGGAGCACAAGGAGTCCCCTTCCTGGGCCCCTCATCTCACTAGAGCAGCCCTCCACACTTCCCACATCTGAAAATGGGGCCCTGTCCAGGCTGTGGGGTTCAATCAAAAGCAGGGCCAGCATGCATAGTGGATGCAGCACTGGGGACCTGGTTGGCTGCTGTTAGAGGCACGGGACCCCCATCCTCTGCGGGCTGTGGGTGTGGCAGGAAATGGAGATGGTGGACCCAGCCTTTCCTTCATTTCAGTACAATGGAGCTTCTTGTTTGCCTGCCATGGGATTGAGGGACCCCCCATGAGAGTGTCCACAGTGGGACCCTGGCCAGGGAGGGTCCAGCCAAGGGCTGTAGCAAGGCAGGCCCTACTTCACAAGCAGAAATGTCCAGAAGTACACATCACCCTGCTGGATGCCAGAAGCTGGGGACAGGTGATTCCTCCCATCTGGGATGGGGCTCAGTACACTGCACCCCATAACATTGCCCAATATTTGGAGCCTGGCCTACTCACGCTTGGAAAGCTGCAGGGCCCCATGCATTGTTGACAGTGCCTCTACCAGGCTGTGAGTAGGAGAACACAAATGGAGGCAGTTCTCTGTCCTGCAGAGGCCAGGCATTGTGGCAGTCCAGCCTGCCCTGACATGCTCTGTATCGATAGGCGTGGGGGGAGCAACGATAAGACAACCTAGGGCCATTGGCCCCAAGAGGGTGAAGAGTGCAGGTGATAACAGCCTGTGCCTTCCCTGGCAGGACTCTGACTCAGCTGCTCAGGTGGTGTCTGAATCATCACCCCCCCACACACACACAGGCACATGTGTGTGTGTGCGCGTACACACACACACACACACACACACACACACACACACAGAGTCTCTCTGTGTCTCTGTCTCTCTCCCTTCCTCTGGACTCCCTGTCTGTCTTCCTGGCCTGGTCTGGGGCTCCAGAGATAGAGTGGCACTGTCCTGCGAGGTTTCTATGGAGAGGAAGATAAGCTGAGAAGACAGACAGCTGAGGGTTCTGATCGGAGGTGGCTCTGCCCTCCAGGCTGGGTCTGGCCCAGAGGATGGAAGTGGGGGCCTGGCTCCATTTGTAGGACCTGTGACCCTTAGCTCCTTCGCCTGTGTTCTCCCCAGGTGCTGGAGTCAGGTATCCTGGACACACTGTCGGTGGAGGAGCGCAAGCGGCAGGAGGTAAGGCCATCGGGAGTCCCTAGACATGGCGTGGGCCACACAGTACCCTGGAAGTTGGAGAACCGCAGTGATACGCTGTCCTCACCTACCCTAATGGCCGCCTCATGGGCCAGATACCATGATGGCTGAGGACTGAGCCTCCCGGTTGCCTTGTGAGCCCTCAGGCAGCGTCAGGAAGGAGCCTATCTTTGCCCCTCAGGAAGAGCCAGAGTCCTGGCCCGGGATGAGGGGCATAGCTCAGTGGCAGTGTTTGCCTAGCATGTGTCAGCCCGTGTTTGATCCCCACCCAGTACCATCTTCCACAGAAAGCTGAGTCCTGGCCACCTCCACACAGCCTGAGTTGGTGAGCCAGAACACGTAGGGACGTGGACTCATGGCCTGTGCAGCCATCATGACAGCCCTCCGGAGGGGCCCACGCCCCAGTCTTCCTCCCCCTCCCAGGGCATGGCCTGACACTGAGCGTCATCTTTTCATGCAGGCCATCTTTGAAATCCTCACGTCCGAGTTCTCCTATCTGCACAGCCTGAGCATCCTGGTGACTGAGTTCCTGCAGTCCAGGGAGCTGAAGGCCACTATGACACAGACAGAACACCACCACCTCTTCTCCAACATCTTGGATGTGCTGGCTGCCAGTCAGAAGTGAGCTTCCCGGCCCTTCCACGTCTGGGTCTGCCTGGGTCCCCAGGAATGCTCTTCGCCTTGCCTCTAGGCAGCCGTCATTGCAATGATATCAATGGACCCTGGGTTATAGCTGTGCATGGGAAGCTCGGAGCAGCCACTGACTCCCAGGCTGGGC